TCATTTGCTATTGCAACTAATGTTTTTTTTTGCATTTTTGTTTTTCCAGAGATCTACAATTATACATATTCTGTTTGTCTTTTTTGTAAAATATGAAAAAAATGAAACAAAATTAAATGTTAGAAAAGATTTATAGTTGTCGTTTTAATGTTAAAGCTAAAACTAATATAAATGGCATTTTGAATAAATATAAAAAGTCAACCAAAAAAGAAAAGTCTTAAATAATCCAAAAACGAAGCGGATTAATACATATATTTATATTATAAGTAGATATGTGTGTATGCTTACAAGTATATATTTGTGAAAAATTTACCTATGCATGTAATTACATTGCAGAAAAGGCGCTGGCTGGTGCATCTTCATTTCCATACCGCAGCATGAATATAAATAAGAAATATCTTCTTTATATTTGGATTTGGATTTAGATATTTTAAAAGAAAAACGTTGTAATTTTTGTGTTTTTTTGTTTTTATTATATAACATTTTGTTTTATAGTATTTAACAATAATTTTAGTGGTTTTTAGTTTGTAACACAAAATCATTATTATTAGAATTAAGATTTCGTAATGAAATTATAACAATCTTTATTTAATTTCTATAAACTGCAATTTATAGAAATTACCCTATATTCCTTGACATTAAAAAAAATCAGCCAAATACTTAGAAATTTTCAGATTTACTGTTAGATATTTTTAAAGAAAAATGGCGACAATAATTTGTTTTTTTGAAGTTTCAAACATAGTGATCAGCTGATTTTTATTTTGGGTATAATTTCATAGCGAAATTATTAAATTTTGTCGTGTGAAGTCCCTCAAATAATTTCAATATGATATGTAAACAGTCAGCGGAATTTATCTTCGATTTTATCATATATTTAAACAGTACCTACAAAGCTTATAAAAAAAAGAATGTTCGGAATTAAAAATTATTCCTCTAGTAATGGTAAACAAAAGCTGTGTTTACATGCCGTTAAAAAGGGAAACGAAACGTATGTTAACCATTGATGCAAAAGTCGAAGTGTAAACATAGGTAATGGCTTCATGATCTAATCCAAAATTACGAAAAAAATGTACTAAATTTATACATCTGTAAAATGGTTACTGTCAAAATTTTTCTTTAATAACAAAAAAAATGTATAAACGTATCCGTATTTTTCGCAACTTTGCTGCTAAGTAATTATAAGGAAGCTCAAAAGTTTCTCTCTACGAAAAATCAAACAAAAGAAACAAATACGTCAAAATACATAGTTCAAATTCAGTACATAATTGAAAAAAGCTAAATTTTACAGGAGAATTGATTTTGCGGCGTTTAGAAAATTCTTCGATCAAAGCCTTCTCGATAGCTCTCATTCTAATTATTTTAACTGTCATTTGTCTGATTCTTTAAAATTTTGTGGAGAAAAAATTTTACAAAATTATTTTTAAAGTTTTGCTTTGAGTGACAAATGAGAAAAATATGAAGCGCACTTAATTCCAAAAAGGCTTTTCATTTTTTCTTTCAAATTCGTTTGATTTTTAAATTTTTGTGAAATAAAGTAGACAAACAGACCTAATGACAGCTTACTGACTTAGTAACTTTTTCGTCCGCCAACTTTTTCAATGAAATCATTTACTTAATTTAATAAATACATCAAAATTCGAAGATATATTTCAAAAATTTAATTGAAAATACATAATCCTATAATGAAAAGGCTCCAATTATTTAATAAAATGACATTTTTCAAATATACACACATATGTATAAGTATATATAAGTACGTAAGCGGCTGTATACACGTAAGAAATAAAAATGGAAAATTTTGAAATTTTTAGGCTTGGAAAATGTCACAGGTGATGACGAGCTCTAAGCTCGGAAAATAGTTTTTGGTTAATGCTTTTTGTTTTTCTTAAAGCATTTTTAAACATTGATTTCATTATATTAATATTTTTCACATCGATTTCAAATTGTAAAACACTAATGCAAAAAAGTAATTACTTGAAATTTTTTGGCTTTTCGATTTTTTTTTATTATAGTTGGAGCTTTACATTTAGTTTAGTATTAGAGCACTAAGAAAAAAAAACTAGAAAAATAAAATCATGAATCAAGTGAACGAAAATAAACGCGACTGACATTATTCCCATTTTGTGCGATTATTAAAAGCGATATAAAGTTTGTGGTTTTTTGTGGGATTTTTTTTATTGTTTTTCATTCATGGATAAGCTTCTAGAATAGATTGAATAATCTTGCGGGATTCGTTTAAATTTTTTTTGCATATTTATAAGTAAACTGCGGTAAAACTTTTTATATATTTAAACTATGTACAGAAGAATGCACATTATATTCATAAGTATGTGCAGTCATTCACTTAAGTAAATTGTATAATCTGATTTCAAAATCATCCGAAAGAATCGCTTTTTTTAGTACGCTTCATTATATTATGTTTACAATTAAAATTAATATAGTAATAAAATGAAATTGTCGAAATATGCTCAATACATAATTAAAATTAGAAAGTAAAATTCTATTTTGTTGCCAAAAACTTTTTAGAAGCTCGGATTGAAAACCCTTTGGGATTTTGAAAACCATTTGATTTGGTAATCAAATCATTCTGGACTTGTTGGATGTACTTGTGAGTATTTATGTACATAGAGGAATATAAAAGCATTAAAAAGAAAATTCAAGTTTTTTTGGACTCAAATTATTGAAAAAATGTCACTCTGTAAAAAATATTGAAATATGGTATTTAACGTCAAAACGAATAACGTAACATTTTGCACATTTGATTTATTCATCTGTTAAAAAAGTATTATTTAAATTTTTGTTTTAATTTTTAAAATTCCACATTTTTTTATTTCCATTTTCCTGTGCGGTTTTTTTTTTGATGACCATAAAGTATAATTCAAAAGAATTAAAGATATACTTAAATGTGTACGTAATTTAAAAAAAAAATTCATAATCATTATAACGATGAATCAATTAGGGATTATCACAATAACATGAACTTTTGGCGTGACACAAAGTTTTTATGAAATTGATCGGCAATCAGCTGATTACTATATGATAACATTACATACTTTTCAAATAAGTCTCAGTACAAAATACATACATAAATATTTTCTTAATTGATTTGAAATTTTTTTATAAAACAATGCAAAAGAAATAAAAATGAATTCGTATTTTTGTATTTTTTTTTTCAATTCTAAGAAAATTTTATTGATTGATATTTGAAATATGTTGATTCGCTTGTAATTAAGATTCAAAATATATTATTTTGAAAGGGTTAACGGTGTAGGGAGGGAAATAGTTTTGAATAATAAGTTGTCAATGAAAAGTGGTTCAAATATGTTGAAATCTCAAAACTTTTTGGCGTTTACACAAACGCAAACTAAAGTGTTGCTGTAGCGGTCAATTTTACACTAGGTTTAAGTTTAAGAGTTATTGTTTTAGCTCTAAGTTAAAGTATACACTATACAACAAGCTGAACTTTTATAGTTTTTACTTTTTTTCGGTAATATCATTATAAAATATCTACATAAAATTTGAAAAAAAAATCGATTAAAGCTCGTCTGAAGACATTGCGTTTCGTTTTGGACCCGTCAACTTGTTTTAAAGTCAATCAAATATGTCGATAATCTATTGATTTTCACCTAAATGCAAATTCAACGTCAACTTGAGTTATTTATTATAATACAATCTTTATGACTGAATAATTGGTTTGAGGACGAATTCTCTGTTAAATAAACGGTCTGCCCACAATAAAAATTAACATTATTATGCGCATTCTTATACATTCTTTTGTTTACTTATGCAATTTTTGTTTTAGAAATGGTTGAATGACATATTGATATTATTTTGTTAAAAAATGTCAATGTATGAAAATTTATACATAAATGTATCTATAAATTATGAATAATGTGTGTATTCTAAATTTCAAAAATTTTCAATGAAGCTTGATATATAAATTAAAATTACTTATTCAATGTCTTATAATACGCCATAATCAAATTTAAGGTTTATGACAAGTTTGTATGTAATTGATTTTGCTTTGCAAGTAAAAATTATTGTTCTTTAAATTTTTTCTTGTTTCATTTTTAAATACAGAACTTTTATAAAAATTTCAATAGCAATTTTAAATATTTTTTTCAAAAAATATATATGTATTGAAAAGAGGTCATTTGTACGTGATAGAGGAATTGTTAGTTACTGAGTAATAAAAAAAGGACAGGAAATACTCTATTTCCGATCTTATGAAAATATTTCTTTCTTATTTTTTTTATAATTCTCGTCCATTGATAAATAAATTTGTTTATATAGTTTCATATAGTAGGAATAAACTAAAACTACCAATATGAATGGATACGATAGTATTTAATATTGCAGCTTATTTGTGTACATATACATATATAATTTAAATGTATAATTAATTAAAAATCGTGTATATCAGTAAAATAAGGAATGGTAAAATTGAAATAATTTGGTCGAGATAATATTGTACGTCAGATTTTTAAGAAGACGCTGACTGCAAAAAGACTTAAGCCGAAGAATGTCGATAAGTCATGATATTCGTCGAACAAACATATGTGCATATCTTAATATAACAAAAATATCGAATTGCTGTCAGCCGAGGTGCGTTCGCTAGTTTTTGATCAGAAATTTCAAAAGTGTTGAAAAGTTGTCAGCGCCTTTAGATGAAATATATCAAAATAGACTTGAAATCACTTTCACTCATTTAGAAAAAAATAATTTCAAATTAATTTTAAGTGCGTTTGCACTTACTTGTAGGTATTGCAAAGTTGATGTCATACTTACTATTTACTTAATCATATATCTTTTAACACTGTTTGCTAATTTAGAAAGATTTCAATTCTTTTTGAAAATTGTTGAAAAATATGAAAACTACAAATTTTTCTAACTAAATTTTTTTATTTAGATTTATTGAAATATTTATTTTTTTTTACTTTTTAATTTATACATTGTATTTATTTTAACATATCACAGCTAAAAAGTGATTGAGGATGCTTTAAAAATATATAAAAATATTTAAATTCAAATTGCTTTTTTTTGTTAAATGTCTAATTAACAAACATTTTTTTTCATACTTTTAAAAATAAATGTCAAAATTACATTTTAATTGAAAGTTTTATGTAAAATCTAAAAATCCTATTTAAAAAAATATTATAAAAAAAAACTGGCATGAATAAATGAATTTATATAAAATAATTATATACAGTAAATAAAATATTCGAAAATAATTATATAATATAAAAATTACAAATTCATAAAGACATATATACATATATTACAGAATTTTAATAAGAACAAGAAGTAAATACATTGAAATAAGAAAAGAAAGAAATTTAAATACATAGTAAGTATTGCTTACGTCGTTTAATCATCATCTCGATGACGTTGTATTACGATAATAAAACTAAAAAAAAATTTTAAATTAATTTTTTGGAAAACTGAATTTCTATAAAGAAAACCTAGTTCTTTATTCAATTTCCCAAACTCTAGTAAAAATTTGTGTTTACACGACGACGTTTGCATTAATGCAAAACAATAAAACTTACGTGAACCATCAGTTTAAAAGCCGTCGTGTAAATAGGCATAATGCTTTCTTAATTTGACAATGAATTTAGCTGCAACAAAATTGTGGGAAAACAGAAAAAAATATTATTTAACAGTAAAATTTTCGCTTCTATGAAATAGTTTGAGCATTGTGCTCTGAAATATTTGAAAAATGAAGAAGTACAAATGTGATGTGAATAAATACAAATTATTTAAATATCGACTCTATTTTTTACATACTTGTGATTTTCTATGTTAAAATTATGCTTGATTGTGAAAATAACTAATTGAAGAAGAAATTTTGAAAAACAAACAAGAGTTAAGTTATTGAGGGCTAATGTTCGAAAATATTTTTACATAAAGAGGACGTATTATGCAGAAAATGTTTCATATAATCTTGCTACATATATAACATTTTTGTCTGGAATCCATTGCAGCAATACAGAGTAGTAGAATATAATAATAATTGGATAACTGGAATTGAAAAATTCAAATTGATGCCATTTAACATCAATTAATATCATTTATTCGGATTTATGTCGCTTCAAAAGCTGCTGCAACTTTGTGCGAAAATTAATGAAAATTATTATTATAAAAAAGGTAATTTTATATTTAGCAATTAAATTCAGAAAAATATGTACATATTATATTAAGTTGTTGATCTTTCGAGATGAATAAGTCTAATGCTTCTTGTTTTCTGATTAAGTGTTAAAAATATGAAAATTTTAGTGATTTTTTATAAATAAAAGTGAAATAAAATTTTGTTCTCAAAGTTTCTGTTATAGTTGTAAATTTAGTCACTGGCATCTTTATATATACATCGAGCTTCATCGGCGCCATCAGGACAATCGATTTTCTAAAGATCAAAGAAATAACATTTAAAAATTAAATCATTTAATTAAGTAATAATTAAGTGAAGTTTTAAATTTTTATTGGTAATAAAGTGGGATTTGTATAATTTGTAATAATTTAAATTTGAATAGGAAAATTCGTGTTCATAAAATTATATAAATTTAGATATGTATATATGTACCTTATCACACAATTGATCAACTGTTATACATTCTCCAGTGACACATCTTAATTGTCCCTCAGGACAATATTGAGTTGGTTCTGATAATATCTCGGGCATTAACATAATTTTATTACCGGGTTTCGTTGTAGTTTTTTTTGCAGGATTGTCTTCAGTCCGTTTTGATGTTTCAGTTGAAAAATTCAGCATTTTATAAGAATTTTCCGTTGTGGTTGTTGTTGTGTCAGTAGTTCTTGATCTTATTGACGATGATGCAGTGGTAGTTGATGACGCTGGTGTTTTTTGTGATGTTGACGTCATTGTTGATGCAGAGCTTACAGGAGATCTTTTTGAATTATTTACGGTGGCATTTTCTGAAACTCGTTTTGACATGGCCACAGTATTACGTGTTCTATTTGTTCGGTATTTTGAATATTTAAAATCATATTCTGAGTCACTGGTCATCATAATTTCGGTACTGTCTTGGAAATTTGCTAAATAAAAAATTAAATATTTAAGGTTTTTATTGTTTGTATCTAGATTAGAAGTTTACCTAAACTTTTTGATATTTCTTCTGTTGATTTTGTTTTATTTTTTGAATTTGTTTTATTTTTTTCATCATTTTCATCTACAAAATCAATGCTTTTGTTGTCTTCATTGAAAAAACTACTAGATGTTTCTTCAACCATTTTACTACCTTTACCATCTTCATCAATTGGTATAGCAAAAAATGGTAAACTGTCTGGATTATCTGGTGATTGAATTGCTGCAAATGAGTAGATGCGTGGCATTGGATAATCACCACCATTGAGTTCATCATCATAATTATTACTATTTTTATTATCTGTTTTTACTTCATATTCATCGTCATTGTCATTATTGTCATCATCATCATCATTAGAGGGATCATAATCTAAGCAATCATATTCATCAGAACCATCAGAACAATCTTCGTATCCATCACATTGTAAATCACCAGATATACAATTACTATCTGTATGACAACGAAATTCTTCATGATGACAAAATTTACAATTGTCTTCATCTTCACTTAATGAACAATCTTTGATATTATCACATTTCCATTGTTTTGGTATGCATGTTGAATCTAAACATTGAAATTCGTCTTCATAACATTTACTATTGCGACGCGTTGGATCTTCACAAACATTACGATCATTTGAATCTGGATAACGATCACAATCGAATATTGTTGTTAAAATTTCTGAACTTGCTATTATACTTGAACATGGTTCTAAAATGGCTGCATTCAGAAAGTAATATTAAAATTTTATTATTTATAATTTTATTTTACTTTTATTTTTTAGTTCAAATCTACATACATATAAACAAATTCAAAAATATTGGCTTGCCGAAACTATTAAAACTAATAATAAAAAAACCTACATTTACAAATTCTTTTACATGGTTCCAAGGATCCATGTGGTCTACATTCTGGTTCTAAATACGAGCAAATAAATTGAGAAGCACGATTCGAGCAATTTGATGCAATCAAGTATTTAAAATGTGCTAAATCCATTGTAGCAATAATATGTTTTGATTTGCTGTTTGTTAAATCATATTGCAAAATTCCTTGGCACATATCCAATGATGTTGATTGACATACATTGACATCACTAGTATCATTATAATTCAATTCTGATTCTGTTGTTGATTTTATATTAGGGCTTGTATCTCTGTGATGTGTAATAACTGGTATAGTTGGTGAGACTTTTAAAGTTGTCGTTTGAGGTGGCTTTTCTGTACTTAGACTCTGCTCACAATTAAGTAATGTTAGTCAAGAAGAATGATAATATTAAAAAATTTGATAACTTACCTTTTGATTTGATGATTTATTCAAATGTTCGTTATATAATCTTAAAATAGTTTCGTCTTCTTGAACTGGAACATCATAACCATTCTGATGTCCCAATGAATGTCCATTGCTATTTAGAGAAATTGGGCTAAGAATGGTTTTTTCTTGGTTTTTATTCAATTCACTTTCGTTCAAGTTTTGTGGAGGCGCTAACAAATCATCATCTTCAACCAGAAAGCCTTCTTTTGTAGAAAATTTTAAAATTTGTGTATTTCTTGCAGGGTGGATTGTTGTACTTGTTATTGGCTCATTAAATTGTTTTAAATGTTTTGTATTAATAGTTGTTTCTCTAACAAAATCTTTTTTCTCAAATTCATCTGAGCTATTATATATAATAATTGGTTCTGTATTTAAAAAATCTTCAGTATTTTTTTCATCTGACACAGTTTCGAATTTATTTGGTATTATAAATTTATTTAGAAGATCATCATCATCAATATTCTTTGATTGGCCAATTTCCTCGGAATATTCTAAATGATTATTATCTATATCATTGAATTCAGAAGCTATTACATAATTTTCAATACAATCTGAGCGTCTATAATTTCCGAGATAAAAAACATAAACTAAAGAGCCTAAAACGAGGCATGATAATAATAAAAAAATCGGCCACCGAGAATAATCCCAACATGTTCTTAAATGTTCTTTAAATTCTAAATTTTTTTGCCATTTTAGTATTTGATTAGCACGATTTCGAAATGCAGCTGCTGTTGAGGTCTTTGTTAAATTATATTTTGTTGAATCTGTTTTCCAAAAATGTGTTTTATTTCTTTGAAAACTTTTGAATGATAAACTTCGATCTGATGCGGAATTACGATCTACTGAAGATACGGATACTGCTGATGACGATGATGGTAATGATATTTGTGTTGGACGGCTACAAAAACTTGAGTCCTGTAATGAAATTATAATTAAAAAAATTTTAGATTTTGTTAAGACATAAAGTGCATGTTATTGATGAAAAAAAAAAATAAGTATTGGTTATGGCCTTATAATAGTTGCAATTTTCAAAGACTTTTACAATTTAAATGGAAATATACTCATAGTGTAGTTTGACAATATTTATGCGGAGTTGCTCTTAAATATAATTTGCTTTTATTATACAATCTAATCGATTAATGATTTCACCTTTTTTGATATGATCGGAAGCAATTTGTTCAATTTTTGAAGTTTTAAATTTTATTAATGAAGTTAAATCTTATAAACTAATTGTCATTCCGTTTCCTCTTAAATTTCTTAAACTAGCAAATATAAATTATAAAAATGTGCTAAAAATACCAATTTGAAAAATATTATGTAACCAAAATATTTTAACACCCGCTGAGAATAACTAATTAATAAACAAATTAATTTGTTAATTTCTTTATAATTAACAAAATCATTTCAAAGTTAAAACATAAAGGAAATTATGGAATATTTTTAATTAAAACTTTATCAATCTAAATTTAATATTATATGGAACGTTGAAGAATTCCAAAAATTTCCGAAATTAAAACAATTTTGTATCAAAGAGTTTTAAACAATTTGTACTAATTTATATAAAGTATATAATTATACGTGCATACTTACGTATTTGAAAATTCTTTAGGGAAAAACCATCAATTATAATCGCATGTTTCCGCAATTAATTGAGCAATAAAAAAATAATACGCTAATGAAAAACAAGTAACAGAATTTTTAAATTTTAAATGTTTCAATTTCATATGCTAATTTGTCGTAACAACAATAAAATAATCGAAAATGAATAAAGAAAAATAAAATTGTCTCAGCGTGTGGCATTTAACTTCTCTTTTCTCTCTCCGTCTTGTCATTTTTCTTATCATTATTATCGCGATTTCGATTTGAATCACACCTTACCAATTTCGATTTTGACATTTAATTTTTTAAAAATTTATAATTTATATAATTATAGTTTTTTTTTACAAAACATATCAGATTGTTAAGAATTTGTTTTTTAATTTTTGGAAGTTTTTGATATTATTGATATTCATATATATTTTGTTAAAAGGTGGAGAAATGTAGGAACGCCACCGAATCATTAACCTCATATTAAAGGTAGAAATACCGCATAATCGAATCGAAAAAAATATATTTATAATTTGGTAGTGAATTATAGGTTTAACATTTTTTTTACTAATAATGATAAATCAACCAAATTAGTATTTTTTTTTTGTTAGTAGGTCTGATAACAAGACTTAAGTTATTTTTTATACAGGAAATTAAAATGACACCTGCTATTAGAGTTATTAATGATTTAAGTGTTAGAAAGTGGAATCATTTAAATAATAAAAATTGTTTTATTGTTTTTGGATTTTAAAATTCATTGATAAATTTTTTAAAAATTTCATTTGAAATTTGATAATGATATATGGGGAATTTTAAAATTACATAATAATTTCCCTTATCTATATTATACATATGTATATATACTTAAGTGTAATTAATTATCAATACAATAGTGCGAGAAAAGATGATTTATAAAAAAAAATTTATGTGGCTATATCAAAATATAAAAATTTGTTTTACCGGCTTTTGAGAATTTTAATCTTACATAAAAACTTTAATGTTAAAAAAAAATATGTATTGGAATTTTTGCTAGATTTTTCAGTAATGCTCAAATTTTGTACTGGTTATAAAAATATATTAAATAATTATTAGCAGTTTACAAAAATAAAAATTGTATTGCACATTGTCGTTTTATATATAAGAGCTAAAAATATTTTATTCGGAGCGCTTTAAAGTTGTTCTTTTAGCGTTTTAAAGTTGTTTATTGGAAATTTTCGGAATAATCCTTTTTTTTATTTCTTTCTTGCATTTCACTTATTCCGAACGCATTATTTTTTATTCAGGATGATTTTTGGAATAAAAAAAAAATTTTTAGAAAGAAAGCGCCAAAATTCATAAACGCATACGTGGAAATCCCATTTTAGGAAATAAATGTTCGCAACTGCTCCTCTCATTTTCTCTTTTATATACTTATAGAATTTTGCTTTAAGAATATTATATTGCTTTAAATAGACCGCAATATTAGATCTCAAATATTTACATTTCGTGATATTTTAAAAGTTTGTACGCCCTCTATAAGTGAAATTCAATACAATTTAATCATATTGCATGAATTGTCATATGTATAAGTATTTTATTTGTTATTACAATATATTTGTTATACATAAGCGCGCACAGTGGATAAATTTTATTAATATTATAACATTAATCATTAATTATGTCATGCAATTCAAGTAATACATTTAATATTATTATTATTTTTTTTTATAATATTTATTATAGTTTTATATATTTTTTAATTAATATATTTTAGAAAACCTACCCAGTTTTGTTATTTATGATAATATGATTAATTTGTTAATATCATTTGAATTAAAAAATTCCGATTTTATTTACAAAAATGTAATTTTGTTATAAAAAAATTTTGTTCTTATTAAAAAGATCGAAGATTTTTATCAATGTTTGTAGCACGTTCTATAACTTAATCATACTCTAATAGTTATTTAATAAAATTTATTAAGTCAGTTAATTATAATAGACTAATATATTATTTTGAATTTATTTTCAAATATTGGTAGAAAAATTAATACATTTTTTGTTCATTTATTGCAAAATACATAATTTTTTTCCTATCTATGTACATTAGATATGGGCATGATTCATAGTGTCGAGTATAGTAAACAGAGGAATAAATTAAGTATATATAAACATATGTATTTATGTAAATATATGTATATGCGTATAAGTAGTTTTAATTTACAAAATTAACAATTGATTTTATGACAAAAACATGAAAAGAAGTTTTCATTGGTGATTTAGTTAATAATTTCAGTGGTAACAAAGCAAAGCTTCCAATAATAAATTAATTCAGTATGCCACAATCAAGGTATTATAGTACTCGTATTTGAATATGTTTAGAGTTGAAATTTAGAATCTATGATTTTTAAATTTTTTAACATCAAAGTAATTACATCTAGGCACTATATCTGACTATATATGGATATGGTGCCTAGGAGGCTCCTCCTAAACCTATATTTTATATAAATTTGAGTATCTTACAGGGGTGAATTCTACACTAATTAAAATTCTACGCTATTTTGCGTTAAGACAAAGCAACACGGGGTACCCGAATCAAAACTCTTCAATATTAATGAAGGGACATTCATGTGTCTTCCTCTTTTCCACAGAATTTAAAGGTGACATGGTCCTTCAACTCCACATTGCGCCCTTAACTCTTTTGGAACACTTCTGATTATAGGTGCCCAGAAGATCCTTAGATTGTTGCGACGTTGGACGATTACTTCGCAGTTTCGACCTCTTCTTTCAATTTCTTTTCTTACCTTTTTCCGGGCCTTTTACAGACTTATTACAGAGCATACTGGCCCTAGGAAGGGTCTACTAATCCACACTTGCTTCATATAAGGGAGGAGCGTTCCGAGTATGTGCTAAAATTCTATTTTTAAAAATTAGTTTACATTTATAGAATTTATTTGGAATCACTAATTTGCATGTATTTAGGCAGTTTTGCCTCATTGTCACAGATAAATATGTAATTTGAAACAAAAATGTTAGATAAATAAAAAAGCATAACAGTAAGAATAATTTTGGGCACGGTTTCATGATCCAGAAATTCAAGAACACATACTGGTCAATTTCATGATATTTAAATTCTTTGTATGAAAATATGCCCATTATAGTAAATAAATTTACTTGCGTATATGATTTTTTAATAGAATTCTTTAATTATAATTAAATACAGTTAGATTTAAACGATCTTATAAGTAACTGGCTATATGGAATTTTATTGTCATTAAAATTAAAAGAAAATTTAAATTAATACGATTTGCAATTATTTACTAGCTTATTTAATTATAACATGTTCCCTACATAGCTATATGTATGTACATGTGTGTATGCTTGGAGTTGTTATAGAATTTTTTCCATTGAAACAATGCGGATATTAAAAATGCTCTATAACAAGATTTATTGTAAATTGTCTTGATTAAAACATGTGTTTTAAAATGTACTAGAAACTGTAATGTACTAGAAACTGTAATTAAGATAAATTCAATTCAATATTCACAGTTTTAAGGTGTTCTCCTAAATTTGAAATTGTATAGGCTAATGTGAATAGTGCGTCCTAATGCATATATATAAAAGATTTTAAAAAGTAAAAGTGGTAATAATTTTAATTTAAAAGTATTGGTAGAACAATATAGCAATAGTGTAGTAATTCGATTTTAATACTGTTCAATATGAATGCTATAATTGGTAAGCTACATATAGTCTGACATACAATTCATATCATTATTTTAGTGGTACAAAACTCAACAATTAGGCTGAATTTTTTAGAAATATTTTTTTTATTACTGCATTGTTTAAAATTACGACACAGTGTAACTCAATTTAAATTAACAAGATTGTTTTTTCAAATAAAAATTTAAAATATTTGGCCAATATACAATCCAAATATTTGGCCAATGTACGTAATCGGTTGCATGTCTACAATTAACTAACTGCATTTTTCAATCAAATCAAAGTACTTGCTCTTAAATATTCTGAAGAGTATTATTTGGTATTGTCTGAGCTGATAAACTGAAAAAAAAAATTTCGCATAAATTTTCATATTCGGCCAGAAAACAACTTTTTTTAGAGTTGTTGCAATTCTATTCTGCTCGTGTGATATGTCTGTAGCTTTTACATAATAATTGTTATGATTATGTAATTTAAAAAGTGGTGAACATATGAGCATGTATATAAACATATGAATATGGGTGTGATAAATATGATAAATTGGTTCATAGAAAATGAAATTAAAAAATTCTTTTAATTTCAAATAATTATTTAATAATTATGAAAATTTATGAAAGTAATTTCAATTAATTATA